GGCAGGTTACTACCGTCGTTTTGTGGAGGGATTTTCATCGATTGCTGCCCCTATGACTAGATTGACCCAGAAGGGTGCCCCATTTTAGTGGACAGAGGAGTGTGAGGCGAGCTTTCAAAGGCTCAAGACAGATGTGACTACAGCCCCTATCTTGATGTTGCCTACCGGTTCGGGGTCTTATACAGCTTATTGTGATGCCTCACGGGTTGGACTTGGAGCGGTGTTGATGCAGGACGGTAGGGTGATCGCCTACACGTCGAGACAGTTGAAGGTGCATGAAAAGAACTACCATGTCCACGACCTTGAGTTAGCTGCAATTGTTCACGCTTTGAAGATCTGGCGCCATTATTTGTACGGGTGCTTTGTGAGATCTATACTGACCATCGGAGTTTGCAGCACTTGCTTAAGCAGAAGGACCTGAATATGCGTCAGAGGAGATGGTTGGAGTTGTTAAAGGATTATGATATTACTATTCTTTATCACCCGGGCAAGGCCTACAACTTTCATGATTTGAGTTTTCCCGAGTTCCTTACACATTTTCACTAAACACTGATGGAATACAGACCTTCTGCAAACTTAGTGGATTTTGTCAAATCTTATGCACCTCACTTTCCATCTTGATTGTGATACAACTATTTTCACCCATAATCATCCTGATGAGACTTCACATGCTCAAAATATAACCTTACTACTCCCTTAACTCATTCATACCTATGTTGAATTTACGGGGTGTTACGGAGAAAGGCTTTGAAACAAGTGGCATTTGAGGTGGTTTGTTCCATAACTCAGAGAGGAAGTCAGAATTACGCTTCCTATGGTTGTAACTTCTTATTTTACACTTTTCTAATGTAATTTAATATTTTGGTCTGTAATAAGTTATAACGAATATTGGGGTTGGTTAGTAAAAAGGGATGGGGTAATTGTGCATGTTTTAAGGGTAGATATCCTGCCTATAGGATCTGATTAGTAAAGTTCTGCATGTTTTACCTCTACGCTTAGATATCCTACCAATAGGATATGATTAATAAAATTCTGCATATTTTACTTTCACACTTAGATATCCTACTTATATGATCTGTTTTAATAAATTTCTGCATGTTTTACCTCTACGCTTAGATATCCTGCCTATAAGATCTGATTAATAAAGTTCCGCATGTTTACCTCCACACTTAGAAATCATGTCTATAGGATCTAATGGCTATGATCAGGCATCATGTCTACAAGGTTAAAAATCAGCTTTAAATTAGATGTCATGTCTATAGGATTAAAGTCAGTATTTATAAAAATCATGCCTATAGGAATTTCGCTGTAAAACCGGCCTGCTTCATATCATGTTCAATTAGATATCATGTCAGCCTTTAATACTAGATACCATGTCTGTAGGGATTAAAATCAGCAACAATAGAGATTATGTATATAGGATCTGAATCCAGTTTAGTTAAAAATCAGTTTGACTCGTATTGTTTAAACAACTTACTCCTTTCGTTAATACGGTTTAGAAAGCATGTCTATAGGATCCAAATTGCCCATTTAAAACTGTTACTGCTTTGCCATTTTGAATCAGTAATAGATATCATGCTTATAAGGTATCATCAATACACACTCAGGCAAGCCTTAGGTAATAAAGATGAAATTGAATCCGCCTTTGTTTAATTAGCAACTGCTACAATCAGCAGGCAGGCCTGATTCGGACTTCTTATCTAAGTTATGTAATAAATGGGTCTGCTTCAACAACCAAAACTCCCCTGTCTTAGTACTTTAATTCCTGACCCTAAATGTGTTTACGTCATGCTATTTATGTGGTTTGCTTGAGGAGGTATATATGAGCCTCTTAGTTGTTTACATGTGTTCCCTAATATGCAGTCCTATGTGTTTTGAATGTCGCCTTAGTCTTTTTACCTTTAAAAACCCTAGTCAGCCTAAAATCCTCCCTCTTATAGGAATAGTAGTCCCAAATTCCTCCAGGACTGATAGGAATGGGACGGGTAATAACATGCAATAGAGGTCGAGACCAATCTACGCTTTAATACCTTAACGGGGTGGGAAGGGTAGATATGGATATGATGACCGGTGCGCTAATACCACGTGTAGCCCCTCTTTTGAGGAGTGATTACCGGGTATTGCATTGATGTGATCCATATTACAAATAAACCTAGGACCCCCTTTGTATTCGTCAGCATGCTTAGTTATAACTCTTTCAAAACTTTGCTCTATTTTATCATTTTCAAACACTTGTGTATTTGAAATCTCCTCTTATTTGAGCCTTGTTTGTTTACTTGTTAATTGCACAAATTCACAAAGAACTATCTGGCCGAGAACCACACTAGTGGATCCTGAGGGGTGCCTAACACCTTCCCCTTGTGATAATTTCAAGCCCTTACCCTATCTCTGGTTATCAAACATAGTCGTAGTTGAACCCCATAGGTGCCCTAACGCACCTTAAAATCGTTAGGTGGCGACTCTTCAAAGTTGCAAACCCCTTTCCCAAAAGGAAAGAGCTGTCCCAATCGAATGTCACAAACCCGATTCCGCGAAGGAAAAAAGGGGGGCGCGAAACACCCCGATTAGATTCCTAGACGGTGAATCTTTTGATTACATAATTAAAATACCGAGCAACTTTGGTTAGTATTTTTTGTAATATTTTTTATGAATTTAATTTACTGACCAACGTTGGTCGGTACTTTCCGACCAACTTTTGTCGGTATATTAAAACGACCATCAAAATACCGTCCAAGCGTATTTGGTCGCGTTTTGGTCAGTAATTCACCATAACTGACCAAAGTTGGTCGGTTTTTTTGGTCGGTATTTACCGAATTTCTAGTAATGTACGCGTTCGCGAAGGGTAAAACCCCCAACACTCCGCGTTCGCGACCCAACTGTCGCTTTCACGATGAAGAAAATCCTCCCCTGTCCCAGACTCTCCTTCCCGATCGCGAAGCACATGACACCAGATACATCAGAAGCTCAAGACACCAGTAATTTTCTAAGTTCAAATGGTCTGTAGGCTATCCGAAACTCACCCGTGCTCTCGTGGCTCCAAACCACATATGCACACAACTCCAAAAATCTCATACGAAGTCTCGCAAGCGATTAAGATACCAAAATAATATGTAGAACTACGAATCGGACACCAAATCAAAATGAAATCTTTAATGAAACTTAAGAATTTCTATTTTAACAACCAGACGTCTGAATGACGTCAAATTAACTCTATTTTGCACCAAAAATTTCATACAAGTCGTAAAAATAGTAATGAACCTATACCAAGCTCCGGAACCGGTAGAAATAAAGTCAAATTTTAGTCAAACTTTCATATTCTTTAAACCTTTAAAGTTCAAATTTTTAACAAATTGCGATAACTCAAGCTATGGACCTGCGAATTTGATTCTGGGCATACGCCCGAGTCTCAAATCACGATACCTACCGGGACCATCAAAACACGGATGCTGGTCCGTTTGCTCAAAACGTTGACCGAAGTCAACTCAAATGGATTTTCAAGGCACGGATTCACATTTTAATCAATTTTTTACATAAATGCCTTTCGAAAGAAGACACGGATTGTGCACGCAAACCAAGGAAGATTAAAAGGAGCTATTGGAGGCTTTGAAACACAGAATTAAGATTTAAAACTCTAGATGACCTATCGAGTCATCACATAATGTGGGAAATTTATAGGTTATGATAAATTCAGTAATTTTTGCTTAAACTATGTACTCCCTATGTTCACTTTTTATTGTCCATTTTTTATTTTGCACTCCCTTTTAAGAAAAAAGAAATGAAGTATGTATTTTTAATTCTACCCATAACAATGATAGTATTTTCAAAAGTTTTGGAAAATAATTTGGGGAATGGGTAGTTAATGACAAGGGTAAAACAAGAAAAGAAGATTGTCTTTCTCTTTGTTTAACCAGAAAATAGGAAATTCAGTCAAAGCTTAATTTTTAGAAGAACTCGGGTTACTGATAATCAAAGTTAGAACAAACAAGAAGAATTGAAATAAACTATAGCTGAGTAAAAGAAAGCAAAGTAAATTAGTGTATTCCAACAATATTCTGTCTCCGTACAAATGATTATTCCTCTCCTTTTATAGCTATTTCTAAGTAATACGTTTCTTTCCCCTCATAACAGAGCCATTTTGAGTAATTAATGTCATTAATGCAACGTTATAATCAGCAATCGTAACTATTTCGTGAAGATTCTGTAACGTTTTCCATCATTGACGCTCATTAATTACGGATAATACGTATTTGTACTTTTTGCTGTCTAAGTTCATTCCTCCAATGTCTCTTCAAATTACCAAGAGGTCCGAGTAACCGTTCCTTCCCGTTTTCTTGAATCTCCGCCCGTGCCTGTTAAGGCTCGTCTTTCTTCAACTATTCTTTGCCAGCAATCATTCTTTTATTGATCCAAGTGTCTTGACATGTCAGCACATAATTAATCCCATATGTTAACTTGATTTTTCCCAATACACTTTTGATTTAGTATAGTGGACAAGTAAAAGTGAAAATGTGTTTTTAGTGTAGTGGACAAGTAAAAGTGAACGAATGTATTAAGAATTTTAAATATGAATAAATATTTGACATACAACCTAGCTATTATTAAATACTCGTATTATTAACTTGAGTACAATGTAAAACCCGCAAACTTTAAATTACGGATCCTCCACAATGAATTCAGTACGAGGGAGGTAGAGAGAAGTGACATGCAAGTGGTCAGTGAAGTACTCTTGTTTTCTTGGTAATTTCGTCTGAATTTCCACAATTTATAGTGTTGAATTAAATGTGGCATTCAGAGAAGTTGAAATATGAATCACAAATTGATAATGAATGTTCTAGGTACCTTATTGTGGTCCTTATAATGACCTTGTTACTTTTCTCTTGTTTTGTTTTTGTGTAACTCGTTTTCCTTTTCCTTTTCCTTTTCCTTTTCTCTTTTCGCACAAGGTTACACGTTTTTCTCACTTTATACTTTTTAATTGATAGTATATATTGCTGAGTATTTAGGAATAATCAAGATTCATTATCAAGTGAACCAAAAAGGGAAACCACAGACTTACTCGGACAAAATATTAGAGTGAAGAAATGGCAAGGACACGTTGCTATGACAAAAGTGGATTGAAGAAGGGAACTTGGACTCCAGATGAAGATAGGAAATTAGCAGCTTATGTTAGTAAATATGGTTGCTGGAATTGGCGTCAACTTCCCAAGTTTGCTGGTATGCTGAATTCCTATCTCCTTTTTGGATCCGACCCCAACTTATTTAAGACTGACACATATGTAGTTATAGTTGTCGTCGGATTGTAAAACTAAAATGATTCCCCCATTTTTGGAACAGATAGAATTATCTATCTGTTTTCCTTCTGCTGGCAATGTGTATAACTTAAATCCGTATTGTTAGTGTCATGTTGTGTTATTTTAGCTCAAAGAATTAATGCGTTGTTCTCCTTGTGAAGGATTAGCTAGGTGTGGGAAGAGCTGCAGACTGAGATGGCTGAATTATCTCCAACCAAATATCAAAAGAGGAAGCTATACTAAAGAAGAAGATGAAATTATCATGAAGCTCCATGCAGAAATTGGAAACAAGTAAGCAATGCAATTTTCTCTTTTTTTTCCCATCCTTTTACTCATAAACAGCACAATGGCAGCAAAAAACTTCAGATATATGGACTTATAATTTCTATTGGATGGGTGAGACAACCATCTTGGTTGCGGGTTCGGTCGAATCCAGTAGCTTTTGTTCAAACTCAGTATTTGTATTAAGAAATCCAATAAATATGTACAAATTATTAATTTAGAACTGAATAACTTAATTAAAAGGATTATAATCCCGATGCCATAAGGTTCAGATTCGAGCTCTGCCTATGCAAATAAGAGTAGTTCTTTTAGTAAACTGGAGTATGACATATGAAAGCAACAAGAAGCATTTATTCCTTGATATTGGAGTTTCAATTAATTGAGACATATAAAAGAGAGATACAATTAATCTTATAGTTAAAGCTAATAAATATACGTTTTAAAGAATTAACGTGCAAAACCTTAAAAGACAGATTATATAATGCGGATGTAATACATATTACAGTTTTCATAGAGGTAGGGTGCATACTCATGTTGTGCATGTCTAGCAATTTTTTTTTTTTTAATTTTGTTTTATTTGAGAGAGAGTAAATAAGAGAGTATGTTTACGACCCATTTTCTTTTCAATTACAAAAATCTAATGTAAATAATTCTCTTCTTTATTTTCATTATTCAAGATGGTCGGTAATTGCTGCTCACTTACCTGGAAGATCAGACAATGACATAAAGAATCATTGGCACACCTCCCTCAAAAAGAGATCAACTCAAGAATATTCAACTTCAACTGACTCAAAGAAGGGATCATCTAATAACAATTATCAGTCCAGCAGTCGAAAAAAGAGACGTGAAAATGAAACTCAAGTAAATGCAAATGAGAAGATAAATGAGAGTTTTCAATTGTCACCAATGCAATCATGCAGTACTGAGGTTTCCTCTTGTGCTACAATTGACCAAAATGTGGAAAGTATACATGGCGAACGCGAGGTTTTTCAAGAAGAAATATTTGAAGTATCCAGTGGAAGTTTTTGGACAGAACCATTTTTAGTAGATAGTTTTAGCACTGCTAGTGATTGTTTTGTACCATCATTTGATGATCATGGAGTATTTGTATCTCCATTTTCCCCTATTATGAGCTATGATGAATTACTATGCTCATATTATTAAAGATAGTGAACTCCTTAAAGTACATTGATTGCTGGGAATTGGATAAGTAGTGCAAGTTGTACCTTTGGTTAATTTTGAGGAAACTTAAAGAACATCTAGTATAGAGGAATACAGGTGGAAAAAATCAGTTTCCTTCTTCTTTTTTTAATCTAGTATTTTAAATTCCCATTGGATCCAACTAATTCGAATTCGCATTGCATGACGATCTCATGTCGGCCTTCTTCTATCGGAATTGATTGTATTTCTGCCGGGAATTAATTGAATTTCACTAAGGATGTTCAAGATTTAATATACATGTATAACAATATTTTTTAATTTATATACGCAATATAATATTTTACATGCACAATATAATTTTTCGATAAAGGGTGTTAAACTGACCACGTTTAATTATATGTGACTACACCACTACACCTAGCAGAGAAATCATTGTAATCATAGTAGAAATGATTGTACTATTTCATATTCTTCCAACTCATCTAGTCCTAGTGAAAGAGTGACATATATCTCCATAAATTTGGAGTGTAATTTTAAAACTGAGTTCGTACCAAATTATATGGACCACTTCTTAAACCAGTAGCTATTGCCTTACAGTCATGGCCATTTTTTAGTGGTTCTCATTTTCTGGTGAAATTTATGGCCACAAGTGTAGAATTATATATGTCAGATCTTCAGGTTATCATCAATGAAATATCAAAGTCTCAAGAAAATTTTTATTATGTGTCTCACGCAACTCGTATAAGTTGTGTGACGTACTTGTTATGTGAGGCACATAGCAAAGCTTTTCGGATAGATATTGATTAGTCTAGTGATCTTCACATATTGGATAGTTAAAGAAAGAAAATAAACATAGAATTTTCATCAAAAGAAACTTCTAAGATACATGTCAAGAAAATAAATAAATAGAATTTTCATCGAAAGAAACTTCTACTTAGATACACGTCAAATAAGTTTACAATTTCGTGCTATATGGTAAAAAGTTTTCTGTGCACAAAAGACCTGAAAGATGAGACCTTTACGTGCTTTAATGTGTTGACCAAAGCATATATATATATATATATATATATATATATATATGAAGTAAAAGTAAGTATTCCAAATGAAAGAGAGAGATTGATGATAAGTACTTTATCTTACAAATTCGTCATCCCTTATGGCCACATGGAAGTGTAGAATGATATATGTCAGATTTTCAGGTTATCAACAAGGAAATATCAGTCTCAATGTTGACTTATGCGGTGTAGGTTTTGATAATTTAATAAGGAACAAATGTATGAATCAGCTTCATGGATACTGTATGCAGGTCACGATCAGAAACAAGCAAAAGATATGCACATACAAGGAATTATTATAAGTGATTATTTCTGATAATTCCTGAACAAAAAGATTGCATATTCTCTATCCAAGATAAGGAAAGAGTTAGAGGTTGAAGTTAAGTATAACTCTTCCACCAAGGAAGACTAAAGCATCAGACTTCTAGTTACTCTTTATTCTACTAACTCTATAAATATCAGTATTATTCTCTTTTATACATACTAAAGTTAAGCACAATTGAGAACAAAATAGCAAGGCATTTTGTGAGTAATTCCGGTGAGATTCAAGGGTGCGAACCTGAAGCTACATGAATCAGATTGAAGAGTCAGTTCTATGTGTCTGTTTTTAATTCTAGTTCAAGTGTAGTATGAGCTTTTGAGTTGTACATTTCAGCTTTCTCTAGAAGCAAACTGTAGTAGGTACTTGAGTTGTCTTATTCAAGTTAGAGTTAACTTAAAGTACTCGCAACAGCCCATGGCGTGTTGTTACAAGTGTTAGAATTTAATCCCTAGGTTTGCAAGAGTTTATAAACTTTGTTTTTGTCTCGGAGTTTAGTGAAATGTTTGGGGAAAATCCTACTGGCAAATAGGACATGATTTTTTCACCTTTTGAGTCGGGTGTTTTTCACGTAAATATAATTATGTTCTTTACTTTCTGCATTATTTATTCCGCAACTACATTATAAGGAACATATCGAAGAATCAGATCTTTCGATAACCCAATGCACATGAAAATCGGATACCACACAAATCACCCCTCTTGTGTGGTCTTGAGCTTAGAACAATCACTCAATAAAGCGTTTCGTTTATTTCGAAGTATACATGACAGGGACGGATGCAACTTTATGTTAATTACCGAGTTAATCTAAATCTAATATTTTCAACGTGAATTATAAATTTATGTGAATTTTTTTATAACAAAAAATAAATTTAAACCCGTAACTTTAAAAATATAATAGGGCCACTCTTAAAACCTTTAAAGGTTGAACTCAAAGATCGAGCTTAAATCTTGAATTTTGTCATACATGAAACACATTCATGAACAGCAAGAGCTTGGAGTTAATTATGTTTGTGTTTTGTATGAATTTCATAGGGATTGGCTGAGAATATTCTTCAGGAAAGATATAACTTAGGCTTGGTGATCTTCAAGATATTGGATAGTTAAAGAAAGAAAATAAAATAAATAGAATTTTCATCAAAAGAAACTTCTAAGATACATGTCAAAAATAATAAATAAATAAAAAATAGAATTCCCACCATCGGGATCGTGATAGCGCCTAACATCACACTTGCTAGGCAAGCCAACATTAGAGTATTACCAACCAATTTCCTTTACGATTCAGTGAATAAAAGTGAACAAGTTAAAAACAAGTGATCATAATTACGGAAGTAAGTAAAACCTACACAGTAGAAGAAGAATACATAAACACATAAACTGATGCGGCGCGCATCTCGATCCCACCATATAATAATCAGCAACAATATGAACATTCACCCTTATTACTCCATATCAATCCACCCTTACTCCTCCTGTTGCGACGTGCAACCCGATCCCACCGTACAATAGTAATTGACCCTTATTACTCCTCAATATATCACCCTTATTCCTCCTGTTGCGGCGCGCAACCCCATCCCACCATACAATAACATGTCAACCTTATTCCTCCTGTTGCGGCGTGCAACCCGATCCCACCATATCAGTACCAATCATAAAATAAGAACAAAAATTTCACAACTTGGCTCAAAACTCCCCACAGTATTTAAACTTCAACTAAACAAACGGAAAGCGGTACAATTATGAAACTTCACTCAAAATATACTACTTAGTGAAACCATTCCAAAGTATACTAATAAACATTGAGAACCAACTTAAATCAATAATATGAAACAATGAAACTACGTGATATCCAATACTTTTAACAACGAATATAATATCCGACAAGTAGCAACTAATCATGAAAATATCAATAAAGCATGTAGTAGTTAAGGCAGGGACCAATATATTTAGAACGGGAAGGGAACAGTCAAACAGATAAATTGGCGGCGCATAGGTACTCGTCACCTCACCTATACGCCACACACATGGATTTTCACATAGCAATTAAGTCGGGGATCTCTAATCCCTCGAGTCAAAGATAGACACAACACTTACCTCAATCCAACGGCCAATTCGAAGATCAATTACCGGTTTTCCTCTAGTTTTCACCTCCGAACCACTCGTATCTAGTCATAATTAACTTAACAACATCAATTATCGCTAAAGAAATCAATTCCAATACGTAATTATAAGTTTTCCAACATTTCCCCCAAAAAGTCAAAAACCGACCCTGGACCCGCTTGGTCAAAACCCAAAATTCGAACCAAAACCCGATTAGCCATTCACCCCCGAGCTTGGATATACAATTGGTTTTGGAATCCGACCTCAATTTGAGGTCTAAATCCCCAAATTTTGAAATCCCTAATTTCTACCAAAAAATCCCCAATTCCACCATGAAAACCCTAGATTCTAGGATGAAATCATGTAAAAAGAGGTAAAATAGTGAAAGGAACTAGTTAAGAATCACTTACTTATGATTTGAGGAAGAAAAAGTAATTGAAAAATTGCCTCTTGTGTTCTAGGTTTTGAAAAATTGGAGAATGAATGAAAAATCCCATCCAAAATCATTTTTGACCAGTTGCAGGTATCGCATCCCACAAATGCGAACTTCACTTCGCAAGTGCGAAGACTGACCTGGGCCTGCTAACATCGCAAATGCGACCAATGCTGATCGCAATTGCGATCCTGAGCTTCGCAATTGCGAAGATCTCGTTCCAGCCCTACTGCTCGCAAATGCGAGGCTCACATTTACGAGTGCGAAGTCTGCAGACCTGAAGCATACCACCAAAATTTCTTAAGTCCAAGTCACTTTGTAGCCTATCCGAAACTCACCCGAGCCCTTGGGGCTCCAAACCAAACATGCACACAAGTCTTAAAACATCATACGAACTTGCTCGTGCGATCAAAGCGCAAAAATAACATCTAGAACTACGGATTCAGCACCAAAACACATGAAATTCCTTAGAACACTTTGAAATTCCTATTTTCACAATCGGATATCTGAATCACGTCAAATCAGTTCTGTTTCTCACCAAATTTTACATATAAGGTATAAATATTATTTTTGACCTGTACCGGGCTCCGGAACCAAAATACGGGCTCGATACCAACAAGATTAAATATTAAACAGATTCTTAAAACCATTTTAAAGCCTCGGAACACGGAATCGAGTTCTAAAACATAAGATGAATTTTTGGGTCGTCACATTCTCCACCTCTAAAACAACTATTCGTCCTCAAACGGACATAGAAAAGTACTTGAGCTGGTGAAAAGATGGGGATATCTGCTCCGCATATTGGACTCGAACTCCCAGGTAGCTGCTTCAACAGGATGACCTCTCAACTGCACTCGAACCGAAGGATAAATCTTCGATCTCAACTGACGAAACTGCCGGTCTAAAATGGCTACCGACTCCTCCTCGTTGGTCTAATCCTTGTCCAACTGGACAGTCCTGAAATCTAACACGTGGGATGGTATCGTCGTGATACTTCGGAAGCATGGACACATGGAATACTGGTTGTACCACTGATAAGCCTGGGGGCAACGCAAGTCTGTAGGCCACCTCTCCCACTCGCTCGAGGATCTCAAAAGGCCCGATATACATAAGGCTTAGCTTGCCCTTCTTTCCAGACCTCATTACACCCTTCATGGGCGAAACCTGAACCAACACTCTCTCTCTCCGACCATGAATGCCATATCACGAACCTTACGGTTGCATAACTCTTCTGCCTGGACTGA